GTGGAGATTGGTGGGTATCGTTTACGGTGAGTCATGCACTTGTCTCTCTCGATGAACAGTGAGTGGGTTTTACAGTTTATGTCCTTCTCAAGGGTAATGCGTGACTCCTCCAGGTGGGACAGCGAGTCCCTGGCCTCACTCAGCTGCTGGTACAGAGACGCCACAGTGGCATCGATCTGCCTCACCTCCCCTTCCAAACTACAGACACAAGACGCAAACAAAATGAATAGAGAGGAAGGCAGTAGAGCCATATAGAGTAAGGTGTACACGTGTCTGTGTGTGTGTGCGTATGTTTGTGTTTGTGTGTGTGTGTGTGTATGTGTGTGTACCTGCGCTGGGGTTGATCTCTGCAGAGCTCCATGTTGGGTCTGAGGGAGCGGAGGTAAAGTCTGGATTGAGCTACTCTCAGTGGAGCCTCTTTATTGTGGATGGCCTGCTGGAGAGCCACAATGTTCTTCTCCTGGGCCCCAATCTGCTCCAAGATCTACACACACCATCACAAAGAAATAATCAAGCAATCAATCAATCAATCAATCAATCAGCTACTCTGTCTGTCGTGGTGAAATGTAACTTAGTTTACTGTACTTAAGTACAAGTTTTATATTCTTGTACTTTACTTGAGTACTTTTTTTCATGCTACTTTCTACTTCTACTACTACATATAAACAGCTTCTAAAATATGATGCTTTGTTATAAATTAAAGTACTATATTTATGTAACAATACACTCAACTCACATTTTAATATAATTCACGATTCGTTCACAATATGATTTTCACTTTTTACGTGAGTTTAAAGACAAATTTAGATTGAAAAATATTCCTTTGTAAAAATGAAACTGATGTCTTTGTGCTTTGATGCAGCCACTGACACAAGTGACATAGGACGTCAAGCAGAGTCAAAAGTAGATATAGTGCCCTCTGCTGTTTGAAAAGAGTAACACAATTAATTTTTCATCTTATCGGTTTAAATCTTCACATATTTGTATCTCGCGATATATCTTTGCATCCCTGACTGTATATAACAAACAAGTAGAGCTGAAGTGATCAGTTATTTATTTGATTGACAGAAACTATTTTGAGAATAGTTTATGTCATTTTTCAGGTAAAACATGTTATAGTCCCAGCATCTCAAATGAGGATTTACTGATTTTCCTTGTATTTATTTTAATTAGATTATTTAATTAGTTACATTTCTATTTAACTAATTTTTCTATTAGAAAAAACCACACACTGTGAAAAGTCACTATTTTCTGATATTTTACAAACCGAACAATCAATTGAATCGATCACTCGAGAACATAATCTGGAGCTGTCTTTCTAAGTCTTTAAAACAGTTAAAACAGCCCAACCAACTACAACAGTAAAATGCTGCTTATACATAATACAGTACATACATACAGTGTAATAGTCACAAGGGACTACTTTCTAGGTTGAGTATGTTTAATGACTTCAACTTGTAAGAGAGTTTTTTCACAGTGTGGTATTTGTACTTTTACTTAAGTAAAGGATCTGAATGCTTCCACCTCCACTGTCTGTTGGTCAGTCTGTCTGTCTACCTGTGCGAGCTTCAGCTCCAGCTGGGTCTTGGCCTCTATCAGCTCCACGCAGCGCTGGCTGAAGGCTCGGTCCACACTGGCACACTGGACTCTCAGATCCTCAGTGGTGTCCTGCAGGACTCGCTCCACCAGCACTCTGGCACACACAAACAAATTGAAATTTTAGCTTCAGTCACACAGAGATAAACCTGGTTCTGTGGCAGGTTAAACACACTGACCTGAGACTGTTGGTGGTCCGTTCCTCCTGCAGGGCCTTCAACAGGTTGTCCTGTGTACACTGTGTCCATGATGTGGAGTTACACAACCTGCAGCAGACCACAGGACACATTGTATTAAAGATATACACTTTTTATTATTGTCTAAACCTTGATTAATTTGATGTATTTCTGAGGTTTGGACACACACACACACTCTCTCACATACACACACACACACACACATACACACTCACTGGTCCTGCATGGTGGCTGAGCTGGGGTGGTGCCGCGTATCTGGGCTCATGTTACTATATCTTCCACTGCGGTCATCAAAGTTGTAGGCCTGGTACTTATCAGACCAGTCCAACTCTAACATCTGCTTGGCCTCTCTGTTCATCCTGACAAACACAAACCAAAGTAAGAGCTTCAAACTACAGAGGACATTTTAAAAGTGGGTTTGCATGTCAGACAGTTTTACTCCCAGTAAACAGATTTTGACTTGACTCACTTGATCTGACTGACAACCTGAGCTGTAGTTCTCTTCAGAAGAGCCTGGATGCTCCTGATCAAGTCCACTTCCTACAAAACACACTTCTGGTTAGTGTGTGTCACAGTGAGCCCTCTTCTGGTGCTACTGATACACTAAATACAGGAGTAGACACTTGTTCCTAAGAATATTACTGTAAGAAAACAACAGAATTATCAATGAGTATCGATGAGTCAACATTGTTAACTTTATATTATTTTGTAGTTTTCTTTCAAAACTTATAATTTTTATTTACAATTATTATTATTTTCATTTATTCAAACATATTTTCTCTATATTCTATATTTGTCCTTTCAATAGTGAATTAGGCTAACTATTATTTAATGCAGCCTACTATTCTTTATTTTAACATTACCATTAAAGCCTACAGCCGATAAAAACTTTATTATAGCCTATATTATACAGGCTATCTTTATTGCTCACCTTTAACAGCTCTTCCTCCACAGAGTCCTTCACCAGGTCTGGTCCCAGTCTTCTGGCCCTGCAGCTCAGATTATCGGTGGAGATGGCGTACGGAGTCTCGGTGGCGTCCAGCGCCTTCTCCAGCCTCAGCTTCAGCGCCAGCAGTGCCTCCGTGTCGGCCCGCAGCTGGTCGACGTGCCGCTGCAGCTCAGACCTCCAGTAGTGGATCTCTTCTAGTCTCTCTCCCAGAAGACGTGTCCCGTCGGCCTGGGTCTTCAAAATGTCGGCCTCGGCGTCCTGGTGCAGAGTTTTGGACTCTCTCTGGATCCTGCGGGCAGCGTGGTAGTCGGTCCCGGCCTGCTGGAGGATGCTGTGGTAGTTGGAGAACCACTCCGCCGGGGTGTATTTAGCGGAGCGGTACCCCGCGGTGGCCGAGCCGGAGGACGGCTGCGGGACCTGTACGGGAGGCTTTCTCTCCAGGACCCCCTGAGCCACAGCTCTGCTGTCATAGTGTGGCCTTGACACTAAAACCTCGGAGCTCATTTCTGACAATTAAATTACAAACAAAGCAGAAAGCAGACTCTGGCCCTGAATTAAAAGTAGCATCAGTGATGCACAGTTTTCAGACCAGGTTTGTTTGGTGTTGCCTGGTTACATGTTGGCAGGAGCAACTCCAGCAGCAACTTTGTCTCAGGTGACATATTATCAAATGAGCTGATGGAGACACAAGTGTGTGACAATTTTAGTCACTAAACACACTTACACATAATACACAGAATATATAATTAATAATAAAATAGAACATTGGGTGGAACTCAAATAAGACCTATAAAACATTTTTACCTCCATCTCAACTTGAATTTAGCACAGCATGTCTGTGACTGCTGCTGTCCTCTTCATTAATCTTTTATTGTAGGCCGTTAGGAAAATGACCCACTCATGATTAAGGCTGAAGCGCCACTACACCACCATTAAGGCTGCTTAGCATCCACATGGGAACTATTCAACTCCAAACCGTGAAATCCTGCCAGACAGATGATTAAATTAAGCAGCAAGCAGAATACAGCAAAAAACAAGTTTTGGAAAATGGGTCAGGACCTGTAGAGTGATGTTTTTAGTATTTGTAAGTGAATGCAGATGCAGCTAGTGCTTGAGTTTTATCTAAATATCCTTCCGATCCATTAGCATATCAGTCAAGTCAAACCACATATTAAAGGGAGCCTTGCACTGTGAAGTTGTAGGCCCTTATGCTCAATGGCAACAAAAAATTACCTAACCTCTAAATATGGTTAGTTGGCTGTTGTAATTTATTGTTTTCTCTCCTGATTCTGTGACCTACCTATAACTCCTACATCCTCCGTGCTCCAAAAGGCCCCACCTGCACCTGGCAAAGCATCATGGAGGCAAACGACTGCCCAGACTGTTCTCCGTGTTCAGAGCTAAAAAAAAAAAAAGGATGCCGTATTCTGGTGCACTTCTCCCAGCAAGTAGAGGGTAATAAAAAGCGCCGACAATTCCGATGTTTTAAAAAATATACATGCATATTACCTCTGTGGATTATTATGTCTTGTTTTATATTTCTCCCCCACCACCACTGAACAACAGAATATCGTAAAGATGCTAGCCATATTTATCTACAGTAAGCATTCCATAAGTTGGAAATGTGGCGTCAAATGCTACTATTAGTATAAGCGCTGGTTTCTCACGTTTTCTTTATTTTGTTCCATTTTTGCAAAAGGCGGCCGAAACATTTTGATTATTAGATTGAAACATTTTTCCAGAATTCTCCAGGAATGACGTCAAGTGATCGATACCAAAGGCCCAATTAGTAATGTTAATTCTAAAAGGTTGTAAAGGCAACAAATATAAAAAAATTAAGCAACCTGTTTACCCACAGGCCCCACTTATAACAACATGTGACCAAGAACGGTAAAAAGTTTGATCACAATCATACAGCTGGTTGACTTTGTTATTTGACTTAAAAACTGATTGAACCCTTCCTAAGTCCCGCCCCCTAAATTGCTCTGTGCTCGCCACATTTTGAAGATGGTTAAACGATAAAAGCAACATATAGTTACATCATAAGTTAGCTAATGTTAGTGAAACATTAGCTAACTAGTTTACTAAGGACGGATGTAAAGTTAGCTAGCATTTTGCTAACATTAGCTAGTTAAGTTAAGACTATATATGTGGCTTTTATTTTTTAACCATCTTCAATTACAGGGTCAATTACAAATGGGATAGACCTCTGTCAGTGTACAGTTTCCTACATCACCTGCATTATTATTATTATCACGTTACAATGTGCTCTGTTTGTAGGAGTCCAGGTGGGAGTACAGGTCATCTTCAAAGCCATAAATCTGAAAGAAAAGAAGGAATAAATGCATATTACATGACACACGCCATGTCAACATTTACTGAGGAAATGCAATAATTTTATGAGCATAATGTAAAAATATAACAGGTAGATTGAGTGAAATGAATATTGCAGGTAAGTCCACTTGTAGGTCTGTAAACTTTATTGTTCTCACATCAACAACAGCCGTCATCTCTTCAGCCTCAGTGGCCTTCCACGTGGTTCTGTTCATGACGACTCCAACTCCTGCAATAATACACCTTTATCAGAAAGGACTGAATCATAGTTAGCTTAATGCGTGTGTTTGTGTGTGTGTTAGAGTATGTTGTGTGTGAAACATACCTTGTAATTTGCAATATTTATAAACCATGACAAGGCCAAACGTCAGACTCAGCAGGAGAGCCACAACTGCAAGGACAGTAAGAAGCAAACAGCTAGAGGGCGCTGCGTCTGCAAAAAAAAGACATATATATATATATATAGACTTATATTATAGCCATAGGAACTGAAGCTATAGGTTGTTGCAGTGGAGTCAGTGAAGAAGGAGCACATAGAGTTTTAGCTAAATGCTAACAAATATGATTCAGTGTTTAGTGTAATAAACGTGAGCTGAGCAGAGAGTCTAGAGCCTCGATCTATGAGCACAAATCAAAGATCAACTCTGTGCATACTGATATTTCATGAATGAAGCCCAATGCGCACAACCTTGTTGGTTCTGGACTCACGCACTCACACACACACACACACACACACACACACAGACATATGTACCTTTGGTGGGTTTCTCAGAGATCTGTGTTGTTTGTGAAGTAGGGCTAACAGGTCCCGCAGTGATGAGAGGGGTCTTCTTTGGTAAATCTGTCAGAGAAAAAGATTCTTAGGACAGTAAATCTTTATTTTTTATCCTTATTGTCAACTAACTAAAAATAAACGATTTATGTATTTTCAACTAATAACAACAACAGACATAAAAAGTTCTGAATCTGTTTTACAATGTGCAGGTTTACAGAGAACTGTACTTGTGAGCAGTAATGGTTTCTTATGTATAAACCAACCCTCTGTGTGATATGATGAGATAGAGCTATGATGACTGACCTTTGACTTCCAGCTCAACAGCAGAGAAAACATCCAGGCCAGTGTTTCTATGGACACCACAAAGGTACGGACCAGAATCCCTTTGGGTCAAACTCTTAATCGTCACTGTGAATTTCCTTGACGCTGTATCATCAGTAAGTGTGAACTGTCTGCTTCGTTTGTGGTCAGAGGTGATTAAAGCCTGCTGCAGACATGTGGAGGGCTGGTTTCCTCTGCAGATGTACTTCATGTTGTTCCGGTACTTAGACTTATACGGACAACTGAAGGACACTGAACCTGTCTCATAACCTTGGACTTTGGTGGATCGGTCACAGCAGGTGTCTGTCAATAAAATAAACATCACAGACTGTCACAGGCACAGACACCAAATATATAAATATATACATATATAAGGTTTTTACACAAATGTTTGTTCAGTTAAACAAAATTCAATAACTGTTAAATAAAGCAACTGAAATACACATACACAATAAGCTATACACAGTTGTGTATGTGCACATGTTGGTTTATTACTTGATTGATTTATTCTAGTACCTGGCACCACCTCCACTTGTACTTCAGCACTCAAGGGATCCACTCCTAGTCTGGTCATCATGCACCGGTATTTACCAGATGCCGTGATGCTCAAGATAAGAGGATGGTCACGTGAAAAGATTTGTTTCTTTTGTCAAAATCAAGGATGGAGTATTGCCCTTCTTCACTTCTTATCTGTAACGACAATACATTATAATGTCCCACTCATTCCTGCACAGGTTTTCTCATTAGAGTCATACCCCTCTTGATAGGGACAGGAAACTTCCAGCATCTCCTCCCAGTGCAATCCAGCCTGCTGGATCCAACATAGCTCCGGCACCAAGTGCACGTGCGAACCTCGTCAAAAACGGAAATGCAGAAAACAATCCTGCAATTACATTTAATCAACCATGGTCACACAATGCAGTGGAACTGTAAAACAGGAAATAGAAAGAAATGCCTTGAAATACATCTTAATTCAATATAATCCTCACTCCAGAAGGATTAATTTAAATGACATCAATCAATGTTCACAGCATAAAATGTACATTTAATATTCAGAGCACATTTAACCCAAGTAAAAAAAGAAATCTTAGGGTACATCAATGCTATCAATGTGCTATAGCTGTGTAATGACTGTGCTTAAAATTGAGCAATCCTAAAACAGTATTTATATCTTTTATTTTGAGAAAAAAGAAGATATATGTTGATTTAATCTTAAGAACTTACGGCAGATGATGAGCAGCAGGTTTTGAAGGCTCCACATCTTCATGTTACTGCAAGGTAACTGAAAAATACAGTTGATGTAATTGAACAAAAACGTTTTTACACTGGGAGAATGTGTGAACTGTGAACACATAAACAGCATTGTGTTTAATGCTGAGAATATTGCACCTCACAATAAGTGTTAGCACACCATTCAAATGTGGAAATATCTAAATATAGATCAACTTGAACTTACTGTTTCACACTGTTTCCATGGTGGCCCCTGATCTTTTAAAGGCCAGTAAGAGCAGGAGGAATAATACAAAAACAAACTGTATCATTGTTCGTATAGGCAACGGATTATTATTTTAAGACGGACTTGAACAATTGTGAATGTATCAATTAATATTAAATGTATCCTCACTCCCATGCACACACTGTCTTTTTTGTGGTAACACGTTTCAATAAGGGACACCAGATTTTGACTGCTGAATGCTGTTGTCTTAATTTGGATAGTCTGCAGAGATTATAGAGTATTTGTAACATTTCAACAGTGTATTAGTCAGCGTATACACAAATAAAGGTGGTTTACTGTTTAGGCACCTAAAACATTCTTTGGTAGAGTGGTTATGATCATAGACCTTTAGAAATACTCTTAATCTGTTAAACATCTACAGACAAAGAAAAGTTATAAATACTCCATAAACTATAGGCAGACTGTCCAAATAAAGTGTTACTGAAAAGGATGCTGAGATAACTTTTATGATTTGGCGCTAAACATATTTGGATAGATTTAGAGGTAAAAACTATGTTAGCTATGTCATTTCTGATTAATTTCTGAAAAACTAAACAAAAATTTGAGGAGACATTCTACATTGTGTAGATGAGAGAGAAAAGAGTGAGCAAATTCTCCAATAAATTTCCATATAGGAGTCTCTGCTTTCCATCTTCCATGTTCACTTCACTCCACGAAGCATAAAGGGGCCTGACTTCACATTATTGTCTGATCACATATAGCGTCAGTGGAAAAACTGTGTTAAAAGAGGAAGAAGTGTCCAAAGATCATAAAAAGGCAATGTGAAAGTGATAAGTCAGATCTAACTGTTAACCACATTCACATGCAGCTGTATGAACTGAATAGTTGAGGTGTGAGTCAATAGGAATAGGTATTTTTCAGTGTCAAGATAAAGTAAGTACCTTTCATAAGTTGGAAGATAAATGTGTCCATATTTGGCAGTTGGGACTAATGGTTTGGAGATGTACAAGGAGGTAAAGCAATGGAGGTGTAACGCTCAGAGTCACATATTCTGGCTGCAGTAGCTTTAGAAACCCAGACATCTTGTCAACTGAATGTGAATGTCGTTTTGAGACATTGCTTTTTGATATTTTTACTCTTTACTTGACTCGCTGCTTTGATACTTTATTTTTTAAGGAAAGTTAATTTGCATTCACTGTTTATTATGCCCAGGTCACTCTAGATGTTTTGTTATATTTACAGGATACCCCTGACTAATGTATTTATGCTTTCTTTTCAACTGTTTAACCAATCTTTACGTATTTTCTATTTGAGTACATGTTGACGATGTTACTGCCTACAGTCCACTCACACTGCTGTTTTCACCGTTGCCTAATTAGACCTCTTCTCAGGACTGTGTGTGCATGTAACGACTGAGCCAGATATCTCCCTCACTCTTCTGTTGGTTTTGCTTCCCCTGTTAGAGCAGAACTACTTTACCTGTTATCATTCCTATTAGTAGCATAGCGTATGATGACAGCACATCATTCCCAGCAGACCTCCACCCAACTGACACCTGAGGAGAGCTCCAGTCAGTCTGAATAATTGATTCCCTGTGTGGGAGTGCAGAGCTTGTAATGTACCATGAGTAGATTCATTCTGTGTTTTGTGACTTGTTTTGGGGTCGGTTTTCTTGTTTGGTTTTGCTATGTTTTTATGGTTGATTGTGAATGAAGAAGTTTGAATAGTATATGCATACTTTCATTTCACTTTTCATTGCAAGAAAGGCCTACTGTAACATCAGTGATGGCTCTGCTTCATTCAAGTGTCTCAGTAAGCCAAAACCAAGCCGGCATGCACACTATCAGTGATTGGACACTGACATCTGATTTCTCCATCACACTAACTGACACTGCACAAGATTGCTACTTACGTACAGTCTTCTACACGCTCAAATACCTCATGTTTACTATAAGCAATACCTGCATACAACCCTTTGTGGAATGCAGAAATTAGTGCAGTTGTGTTGCTTAAATGCTCATTGTAAGGGAACACAAGGCGAGGTAAGTTTATTTATATGGCAGTTTATTTATTGAAAGCACACTCATTTGATTTATATCCAAATGCATACAGATTTACAGATGACTACAATAAATTAAGTACAACACGTACACCAAAAACAAAAAATCATTCACTCTGTGACCGACATAGACAAACCTCTTACATACACACACACACACACACACACACACACACACACAGAGTGACAACTATAACCTAAAAAACATGGACACCTCTGATCACGACTAAAAGAGGCCTCAGCAGATCTCCATCTTATCCTGGAACAATGAAGCACTGATTTCTTAATTTTCTCTCTAAAAATTCACTTTTTCCAAATATACAGACATACCCAGTGACATTTTGGGTACTTGGCTAAAGAAGAACATCTAAAGACAGGTGCTTAAATGATTATATCTTGTTCTATACTAAAACTACAGGCCATGAATAATTGGTATGAGGGCCACAGCTTAACAACTATGAAGAGAAATAAACCTAGAAACTAGTGACAAAAATAAACACAGGAAGCATTTCAAATGTAAATGTTATTAGATGAATAAACTTTCAATTAGAAATAGAATCTGTGCATATCCACACAATACATCTTATGGAAAATCACAAAGAAAGTCTGTACAAAAAAGTCCACCCTGTTTTTAATCAGACAATAACAAATATGGTGGCACATTATTTCTGTTGGTCAGCTGTTAATTGACACAATACAAACAGGATATCTTGAAGATCATAATTTGGAGACCAATCAGATCCAGAATGCAAAGTTTGACCAAGTGTATGCAACCTGTAAAATTATTATTGGCTTTGTTGGCTGTGTGGTAACGTATTAGTTGCATATTTTATCGTAGATGTCTTGCGTCTCTGAGAGACAGTGATACTCAGACTCTTGTTGGTCTTTTTTACCATCATGGTGCTTCTTGAAGACTTGCTGCTTTGAGCGCTGTGTGAGTTGTTGATTTTTACTCAGCTACAAAAATAAACAAAATCAGTGCATTACATAGACGTCACAGCATATTAGAGGTTTCAGTTACCTACTGCATCTGTCAAAATGCAGTAATTAACTGTTGATATTTCTGGTCTCTAGAGAATGAAAATGAATGTTTTTTGATGACATGTTCTGTAATGTTTAAATCTAAGCCCCTAATAATAGCAAAATCATGAGTATTCTGTTTGTTCTGTTCTACACATATGTATGGTGGTGTGTAATGTACACTGCAGCCTCTCTCAGCCATTAACAACACTTTAGATTTTAAGTTTTATTTGCTCACCTCAGCCAAACCCAACACTTCTCCTTCTTCAGCAGTCTTCCACATTGAACTGTTAATGTTGACTCCAGCTCCTGCAACAATAAAGGTTTGAAAAGTGTCCTGAGATAGCGTATGCTATGATTTAGCTTTACACAAATAAAACTGAATTGAATTGAAATCTAAAATACTGTATACACCTGTGTAAAACATACCTTGCACTTTGCAGCATTTGCTTTTATAAACCAGAACAAGGACAAATGTCACAATGAGCAGTACAGCCAGAAGTGAAGGAACAATGACAACCACAAAGTTTTTGGGTTCTGCATCTGAGGAAAATGAACAAACACAATAAACCATTCCTGATTAACAAAAATCAGCACCACAATACTTTGTTCAAGTAAAATAATAATAATAATAATAATAATAATACATTTTATTTAAAGGCGCCTCTCTGGGCACTCGAGGAACACCGTACAATACATAAAA